CGTTTGGTGGTCGATCGAAGATGTAACACAGTGGTATCACTATGCATCTTATATATGATTAGGTATCACAATGTATCTTTTGTTTAACAGAGTCAATATTTTTAGGTATCACAATGTATCTTTTGTTTAACAGAGTCAATATTTTTAGGTATCATAATGGTATCACCGGAGGACGGTGGCCGGAGGCCGGAGAACGGTGGCCGGAGAGAGAGGAGAGTTTAAAATATCAAAAATATCCTTGCATTAAGATTTTAATTTAAAATTACCAAATTTATAAATTTCTTAATTTATCTATTGATTTGTGGTTAATATTGGTTCTCACAGTTACCACAAACAACTCAGTTCTCCCTTGAATAGACCCATATATATATGTATATATGGAAGAGTTTAAACGAGAATACCTTCATTTTACGATAATGCAGTAACACCGTTTTAGTACAGACAATCACATGTGATTTTTTATTCTATCATATATGATGCAAATGTGATACTAAATCAGAGGTAACAACTTTTGGCCGGATCTTGGTTGGGGGTTAAGTCGTCCTTACACCACTAAGCCCCCTCTCATGTATTATCAACACATGTGATAAGGGTGTTTTTGATGTGCTACTATAATCCATCACATGTGTTACTAAATCATATACACAGACGACCTTTGATGTGATCTAAGTCACATGACACGTCGTGTGCACATCACCAAGGCCCCTCACGTGTATTAACACATGATAAGAGTGTTCTCGCGTTTTTGTAAAACGAAGATGTTCTCATTTTAACCTCCATATATATACATATATATATATATATATATATATATATGTATATATATATATATATACATCAATACTACATATATAACCATTTAGATCATTGTCTTAAATACAAGTTACCAAGCATATGGTACAATGGTTTTATGCACCAAATTCAAAAATCTCTTAAAGACAAGTCATAAAACATATGGTACAACATTTTTATGCATGAAGCCTTCTTGATGCCATTAATTCTATTCATGGTAACTCTTCAAATACCTTTTATCAAGATTAAGTTCCCAACTTACTTTTTTGATGGTACAAATTATTGATGCATTTCAAATTCAAAATTCAAATTCAAATCTTCACTTTCTTCAACTTTTACTTTCYCATTTYAAATTCAAAATTCAAAATCAAAGATTCAAACATATCACCCTCTCTTTTCTTCCATATTTCAACACCGAGTCGAAAGAGAGTTTGAAGAACAGCAGGAGGCGGCTTCCGATTTGAAGAAGAATGTGTCCCGCTGATTCAGAAACATTTTCCGACCATGAGCCACCARCAACCACGAACGCACGAACCACCGGCGATTTGGAGTTCGATTTCATATATGGAGTTCGATTTCTGATTTTCTTTCAACAAAAGCTTTGGAGTTGAGTTCAATTTCATCGTGCTAAACAACAGGAGGTTTGATTTCTTCTTTTGTTGTTCACTCATATTAGAATTGTAAATCGTGATTGCAAAGGATTCATCAACTAGAGTTTGGATTTGATTTTGATTTGCTTTAAATTTGGATTCACAGATTAGGGTTCTCCAAGGCGACGATTCAGGCCCCAAAGCGACGATTCATAACTCTAGGGTTTATAAACGATCGGTCCTCTCGATCCTCAGGCTCCTCTCGCTCATCGTTTCCACAATCGATTCATCGTTTCTCTACCTATTTCATTCAAGGTAATAATTATTATTCCTCCAATACGGTTGTTCTTCATCTTCCCCTCTTCTTCAAGTTCTTACTATGTGTTAATCTTTCTTCTCCATTTTCACTTCTGGGTTAGGGTTAATTGTGTTTCCATCGAAGATTTGTTGATCTTCAAGCTTTTGACTTCTCTACTGGAAGAGATTCAAGCTTCTATGGATCTCCACATTGAGGTAATTTGTTTTCTATTTGTATCAGTTTGATTTTACCCTAATCATGTTTCTTGAAAGTYTTGGCTTTTTAGTTGATTTTCATTTATTTCAATTTTCACAATTGACTTCGATCAGGTTTCATTATTGTCTTTCTTTCATTATTGTCCAGAATCTTTTCAATATCCTCCGTCTCCAAAATCTCCTAGATGGAAACATATGAACATAAGTAGAATTTGTAGATACCTGGATGGAAATTTGAAAATAAGCCTTGTTAACTGAATTTATTTTATTGGTTCTTAGGTTTATGATGCCTTTACATAAGCCCTTTTCTTTCTACTTCAAAAGTTTGTGAAATGTTATGTAGACTGCAGGTGCAATTGGAGGAGTTGTTGCATCTCTTGTGCGGGTTCCAACATTGGTACAAAGATTTTCTTGAACATTTCCTTATTTTATGTACTGCTTTGCTAGGGTCTATGTACCTCCTTCAGCCTTTTACTTCAATCTTTCACACAGGTTGTGAAGCAAAGAATGCTGACTTGTCAATTTGCTTCGGCTCCTGATGYTGTCCGACTTATTGTTTCCAAGGAGGGTTTTAAAGGACTTATATGCGGTATGAATCTTTGTTGGAAGCTTATGGGCATATGCACAATATATTCTTGTAACTAAAGTTCTGTTATACCTTTCTTGAATTGTATCATTAGACACTTCCTTCTCACATAAAAATTGCGTAGTTTGACTATTTGTCAAAAATTTGAAATATCATTCAATCAAATAAAGAAAMTTTTGTAGACTCAAATCATTCAATCAAACTTGTAACCTTTTTGAAAAGAAAATGTTGCAGTTTTCATMATCATGAAAAGGAAACGTTGCAATTTTCATGTATGGTGGAACTGTTATCGATTTTGCATCCCTTGGTAACTTGTTTGCAGCATATTTATATGAGTTCTAACCTTCACACGCAAATGACTCTAGGGGTATGGATAGGGCTGTAAYGAACTGAATGTTCAGCGAACCGTTCGTGAACCGTTCGGTGGGAAGTTCGTTTATTTAAAAAATGAATATACATGAACAATCTTTTTTGTTCATTAAATTAAATGAACGAACATGAACAAGAGTACCGTTCGTYCMTTTACCGTTCGTTCACGWTCGTTTATATTCGTTTGTTTGTGTTCGTTTATATATTTAGATTAATATATAATCTTTTGTTTATTTATTTTGAATTCAAATAATATTTATTTATGTTCATTTAGCCCGTTCATTTATGTTCGTTTAGGCCGTTCGTTTACGTTTGTTTAGAATGTTAACGAACGAACATAAACGAACACGAACACAAAGATTTTCGTTTGTTTACCGTTCGTGTTTGTTCATTTGTTCGGTTAAGTTAAAGAACGAACATGAACAAGCCTCCGTTCGTGTTCGTTCGTTTACAACTCTAGATATGGATCTTTACATCTACGAGATTTACATTTTGATGCTATCCAGTTCTGTGTATATGAGCTACTTCGGATTGGCTATAAGTTTGCTGTGAGTATTTCTGTCTTATGAAGCTCAAATGCATATTTACTATCCTTGATTTGCTTCATAGAATATGATGGGTTTTTTATATTTATTGGAATCCACTCATTGTTAATCGAGGATTTGAAACATGTCAAGATTATGAAATCAACTASATTACTAAATTGTTATACATAATTGTACATTTTTTTGGATTGTAGAGACCTCAATGATCCCGAGAATGCTGCAATTGGTGCTTTTGCTGGTGACTATATGCTTCACTCCTTTTTTCTCATGCTTATCAAGAGTGTCATGTTTTATCACAGCTCTTGTGATCAACCATTACATTTTCGTAAAGGTTCATGCTTTTAACTATATGTTGAGGAGACACTGAAGAAAACAGCTGACTTAACTATTGCGTGCCACAATATGTAATTTATTTAAGAGAGAAAAGATGTGCAGAAGAACCCATCCATGCCTGATGTAGTGTGTTTGTGGGTGAATGAGCATGTAGTAATAAAWTTTTCCCTACTAAATAAGWCTGCTGCCCAACCCACATTGTTTTGTGGGTTCATAAACAATAGAGCGATTAACTTCTCCTGCCATTGTACTTGATTTTTGACACAAACTTTTTGTTTTTTGCAAAAATAAGCAAACCAAATGTATCCAGTGGGAAYTGATTAATCTAGCCAAGCCAAAAAGTATTATTTTTGGTCAATAAGAATTGCACTTCCATCATACATATATATAATACACTCTTATTTGAAACTTGTAATCACATTGTTTCATAAATGTGTAGACTGTTTGTGAAATGTCTAAAATGCCCACTACTAATATGACAGAATGTGCTGGTTGTAGTGAATACAATGGGAAAATAGGTAACTTTCTTGAATAGGAAGTTGTCAAATACCGAAATCTTTTCRTTTGAACTTAACTTTATTCAATTGCTCATCTCGTTACATCAATTATGTTTTMTRTTTTTCTGCAGGTGCCCTKACTGGAGATAACGACTTCCCTCGATGTAATAAAAACTAGGCTGATGATTAAGGGATCAACAAACTAGTATAAAGGGATAGCCGATTGTGTTCAGACAATTTTGAGAGGTTGAATGCTCTGAATGCGGCAGCTGTTGGYGCAGATGATGAATGAAAACATGTTTGATTTTGAATTATTCGAAAAGGAAGTTGAAAATAGTTCAGTTTTGCATGCTTTGATGATTTTTTTAGAATGAGGGTGGAGATATTTGGAAACATAGTCGATTATCATCAATATAATGTTGGAATTGCCTTTATAATTTTTCATTTTCATTTTCATTTCTGGGGATGATGCTGTCTTTTTTTTGTTTCAAGAAATTATCATCTGCTAAGTTTACAATGTTTAGATTTAATATAAAAGATTATGTTTGATGGATCGTGGTTGTAATGTGAGATTATATATCTAAAGCAACATATATTTTAAGCCAAAATTTTTGTA